CCCTTTATCCGAAAGATTTTTCGTTCCCCTTCTTCCCCCTTCCCCCTCCCTCTCCTAACTACCGGATGAAAATCTAGTCACGGCCCTGCGCGTCATACTACAAAATTATCTCAGTAAAATATGAAATCTAGAAGAGGATAAACAAAGGCAGGAAAAGTAGTTTTTTACAGGCAAAGCTTTTGCTATGGTGGATGTTGATCTGAAACTTTTTGCAATCTGCAGTCTTTGTGAAAAAAAAACAAGAGATGTATGCTTTGCTTCGGAAAAAAATTTCAGTTTGTCATTTCGCTCAATTTTCCAAATATCTCAAGCTCTGAGGGAGAACTTCTCGTTGAGATATGGTTCACATCAACAATGGACCAAATTTCTCCCTTTTTCTGAATGTAACATTTTCATTTTATGCGTCTAGTAGTATGTTTTTTTACTTTTTGAATTTTCAATACTCTATTTTCAAGACTTAAATAGTAAAGCCATCTTCGTATTCGATTTCATATTTCTCCTACGTATCTCAACGAGAAGCTGTGTAGAGAATTTTGAAGACATTGCTCTGCGCATTTGATTGTATTGAATTTTGTAATCTTATTGTTAATGCAATGTGACTGAAAAGAATCGGTGCAAAATGATGGAGCCAAAAATGCGGTTAGTAACTCATTCAAAACTAATTCTGACTGTCATAATGGGAGTGTGGTGCTCTGCATCATTTCGAAAATATCGCTCACTGGGCTGAAGAAAGCCAGAGCAATGCCAAAGATTCCATGTGATCATTTCGATTGCTATGAGTTTCAAACAAATTTTTAGTTCTCGAGTCTGTGCCAATCATTCACTTGGATAACCCTCCAGTCAAAGATTATGATTTTTACATGGAATTATTCGGGCAGTCTGGGAAAAGCCAAGTTAGTTCACTTCGATAAATTCTTGAAAATTGTACTGAGTTTATTCAATGAGCTACTTTCTTGCTTTAGTCGTCAACGCAGACTGGAGACGACGATCTCAATGAGGAGACTCAGACTGAGGATTCTGTTACTGAGACGAAATGGACACAACATCCAGCTCAAGTAAGTTGTCCACTTCAAAAGAATTTTTTTGATATTTTTAATTAAGGACGATTTCGGATGGGGAGCAGAAAGCAGCTCCTCTGTTAACTTAAATACGAGAGAGGACGAAGAAATGGCAATGTTTCGGGAAAATCACCTCCAAAACCCACGTTTGAAGCAGTTTATGGAGTCAGCTGGGCAGGTCAGCTCACAGTCGCTTTTTATTTGAATTTATCTCATCACAAGTTTTTCAGGTTGTTATGGACTTGATCTCCTCAAGGCACAAATCGTCGAGTGCCACGATGATGCGCCAGAAGACTGCTCTTGCCTTCAGTTCAGGTTACAACTCCTACGAACTTGGACCCATCTCTCAGTGTGAGTGTAGCTCTATCACACTATTTTTTT